TACCTGCCCCTCCCCTCTCGCGTGACACGTGGGTCCGCTCGCGGGATGGGCTTACTCGGAGGACGTTACTCCGGTGCGTTTTTCTTTTGTCCGATGGCCTCGACCGAGAGACTATTATGGGCTCAGCCCTGTAATGGAATCGGGATGATGGGCTCCAAGGAAGGACTGCGCCTCTCCTGCATTTTTAAAACTTGGAAAAAAAAAAAAAAAAGATACGAGCAATTGAAGCAGTGCTGGACCCCTTGCGCATTACGTATGCGGCGAAGAGCAAAAAGCTCAAAATCGAGGATAATGAGATTTTTTATGTCCACAAAATCAGGCCTTCATTCGCAAGCATTTTTTAATTGGAATTGCCGCCGCTCGGTGTCTTAAACTGCTCTAATGTGGCATCTCATCCACCGAAGAATTTCTAAATTGTAATTGCACCGTCGCTTCGGTGGATCTTTTTTTTTTCTTTTTTTTTTTTTTTTCACTCGAGTATTTATTCAATAAAAACTAGCTCACGGTGAATTGAGTGCCACGCACTGCAGATTAAAAACAACTCGTGTTATTTCGCGAAAAAAGACTATCTCGTCGAGATGCTAACCTGACTTATAAAAATCAGAAAAATTTACAATTAAAACGGCAAGAAATGAGAATTGACCGTAAGTATAACTCATCGAAATTCACTACTTTTTCTTCGTGGTCCATCCAAAGTATAATTATAGTTAATATAATATACAGACACCATGTGTACACTCACCTAAATGAGAAAATGTATACTGTGCCAGCACTACACAAAGGTTTGGACATGAGATCAACATGTTTTGCGTAAGATCTATACAGCGGGGATCTGTCACTTTGAGCTTCTTTTGAGTTATTGGGGGGTAAAACCAAAGTGACGAAAAGACCAAAAGTCAAAAATAAACAGTACAAAGTACGGCTAAAAGTATGAGTATCAAACGATGGATTGGGATAAAAGATACGCAATGTACAGTATCACATATGGGCAGCATATAAACTCAACAAACCCGCAAGTATTCGGTGCGTGTATAGGTATTTATATATATATATATGTGAAATCTCGCTTCTCGCGAGAAAGAGACGCGGTATCTCCCCAACACTGCGACAGCCACATATAACAAGATACGTATATGCGCGTGTGCAAGCCTCGCGGGGAAGAACACCCGTATGTATGTATATACGTGTACACCCAGGGTATGGGTACACAGGTATATATATATACGTGTATGAAAACGGTGAGCCCGAGAGAATGCGCGCATGGACGACCGGAGAGGGCAACCTCCTCGGTCCCTGTGGCTGCTCCCCCCGTGTTCTGGCTCTCTTTATCTCCAGGCGGCTGTACCGTATGTGTATATATACATGGACAGTGCTCCCTGTATAATATTTATGAGTGCGCGTATCGCCGCGCCAACGCCTCCTTTGCCACGCACTGGATGCCATACTAGGCGCGGAAGAGAAAACGCGTCCCCCTTCCCCATATCCCTTCGTGGCTGTTGATCGCGAAAGAGGCTGCTGGTGCCGTACGTGCGAGTAAAGTATTATATCGTCAGCGGCTCGATCCAGATGCTTGGATTTAAAATATGGGTCCTGAAGAGGTGTATCACTTTGGGGCGATGGTACATACATTGGTTATGTGTGCAATTAATTTTTCGATGCCTTGCCACTTCATCGTGTAACACACCTAAATAGGTGTGATTGGATCGAGTCCGAGGCACACTTGTCTTTTACTACTGCGCAGCCACGTGTGTATAACTTGTTCTACTGACTCTACTCGCACCGGACTTTATCTGTCATATTAAAGTGCAACTCTCTTTGATTTGATAGTTTTTATAATTTATATTGTTTAACAACGATTCGCTTAATTTTAAATCTTTTTTTTTTTAAGATGTAGAGTTCATTATGTGTACGGTGAATGGGTCGATCCAGGAAAAATACCAACAATCCTGAATCTGAAGTTCTGAGCAATATCACTCGTCGCATGATGTACAAGCAATTCATCGTTTTCAACTCGAGTGATTGAAAAAAATATCGCGCGCATTTTTACAGCACATAGAGAGAGAGAGAGAGAGAGAGAGAGAGAGAGAGAGGGTGTATGTGGCAACGAAACGATCGTTTAGCCGGTTATTATACCTTACATTAAAATGAATCGAGGCGAATTGCGCCTGGGAATGGTATTAACGAGCAAAAAGCATCGAGTTTGCATAAACGGCATCGGTATATGGATTCTTGTGACGATAGAAAAGGAAATATATACCGATCCCCACCGTCGTTATTGCACGCGCGCGCGCGCGCCGTGGGACAAAAAATGAATGGGAAGACGAGGATTAAAAGCGAGACTTATGGGTTTGAAAAACAAAGAGGGGAAGAAAAAGAAAAAAAAAATGGGAGAGAAGAGACGAACAAGCGGCCGAGGATACATCAGGTGTATATATATATAAAGAGTAACCGATCGATCAGAGAGGAAAGGAGGAGCGCAAGTGGACGTATATATATATATATATATGTGTGTGTGTGTGTGTGTACTCGAGTAAGGTCGTCGAGCCGCTGATGGTGCTGCTATTGCTCTCTCGAGTCGTCTTCTATTAGCACTCGAGGCCACGCGATTACTCTCTCACGTATATCTACAGGTAGGTGAGAGGAGTCGAAGGATATATATAATGTGTGTATACACGCATACGGCACCTTGCGACTTGCGACTTGCAACTTGCGACGAGGAGGAGTTGGCAGACAGCACGTCGCCTTTTCTCGCGGCTCGCAGGCTCAACGAGCTCACCACAGGGTGTTGGTTTAGAGTACTTATTATATATCTCTTCTCACTCTCTGGTAGCGCGCAACATGTGTGTGCTAAGCTGCTCCTCTTCCCTCGGAGACGATTTTCAAACGAGATCGCTCCTCATCCCGGGACTGTTTTTTCCTCCCTCCCTCCCTCGGGGAGATATCCCACCTGTGCAGAAGAAGGAGAGAAGCGGCCAGACAGGCTGGCACAGCCTGGAATCTTAACGCGAGCCTCCTCCTCTCTTTCTTTCCGTTCCTTCGTCTCTCTCGTATACACACGTACGGTATACAACACGCGTGTGTAAACATGCACACACATTTTTTTTTTCTTTTTTTTTTCTATCTGCTCTTCTTTTCTTTCGCCCTTCTGTCTCCGGTGGAAAAATATATATTTCGGTTTTTTGCCAGCTGTTTCCTCGATTTTTACGTGCGCGTGCCATCACCTTGGCATTCCTCTCTTTATCCGAAAAATCGGCTCGGGGGACTTTTTCCGTCTCAACCGTACTTTTCACCTGTCACGAGACACTTTTCCTCCAACCTGAGTTTTTGACGCCTCGTTGCTCTGTCACGGTTATACGTGAAGGCTCATCGGTTTCGCTGTGGATGACAGATCATTGGCACGTTACGTTCGAACAAAGGATTTTCACCGGCTCTTCGTGTCCATATACCTAATGGGCAAAACTGCGTGAAAATGCCAAGGAAAACCCACTGTTTGCCAATGAGATCGGTGCATCTTCTTGTTTTCCGTGTATCATTATTCATCGATCTCCTTTGAAAGAGAAAGAAACAAAACGTATCTTCATTTTTTTATCTTTATAAAATGTATCGAGGCTGTTTCGTTTGAAACGATAAAAAAAGAATGCAACCATGTGTGTCTTGTACGCTGGAGATTGAAACACGTGAAGAGATACACTCCGATTACGTAAGTCTTTACTTGCGAGTGGTATTAATTAATTTTTCCCCCCTTGTAATTTGAGAGATTATTATTGACGTCGATAAAATTATATTTATAAATCAGGTATGAATCGTATTGTATATTGGCACCAATCCGAACGGATACCGATAAAACTCTGATGTGACCCGTTAACAATCGTAATTCAATGTGTTATTAATAATAATTACAACGTTTTGCAGTTTCGCGGTTGTTTTATTAAAAATGATAACCTAACAGTTAGGCCATTGTCAAAAAAACTGACTATAAAATTTAACAAAGGTACCGTTAATTTAAATGTACACACATAACGCAACTACAATACGTTTGTGTGCACGCATATAACGTATAAACATTGATTTATGTACAAATTTTTAAACTTAAAGGCGAATATTAAGTAATATTATTTACTTAACATTTTCTACTATCGGTGATTAGGAAAAGTTAATTTGATCGGTTGTAATAAATTTTTTTTCGTTTCTTTGCTACTTCTATTTTTGATGAAATGTTTAATTTAAAACTCATTGGTATACAATACAGTAGTTTGATATTATATGTTCACCTAAAAGATGTGCTTTCAAATTACAATGATCACTGAAGCCTGTTGTGTTGTTATTATTTATAAATTGATATTTACGTTCCAAAAGAGGGCGTCTCAATAGCATTACATTCTGAGCAATTAATTTGATATGCTCAGCTTTTTTCCAAAGCGCTGATTTTTTTCTTTTTTCTTTTTGAGTATTGTATTCATTTTGTATTTTTTCAAAAGATCACTTATTTTCTCAGAAACTTTAGGAACGTGATCAAGTAAATAAAATTTCCTATCTTTTGGAAAATTCAGATGGAAACGTTTTAATATTAGCTTTTTGTGTATTTTTTCAATAAAAATATCTATGAGAGTTTCGTTTGTACCGGTTGTAGTCGCTAGGAATTTCAGTACTTGTGCTTCTTTGTTGTAACTGACTTTTTTTAAAGGTGTGGATAACAATATGTTTATAAAAGAATAGAGCGCGCTCATTTCGAGCTCCGCGGCACAAATTTATCTGAAAATGTATGTTTTTTTCCATAGATTCGATCGTAATTAAATCGATCGGAAATTCAAGATTAAACGCGCGCATAATGACTCTTGTTCGGTTACGCAATACGGGTGAAGAGTGAAAAAGTGGATAATTAAAATGAATTATGTTTTTTTTTTTTACGCTCGGCTATACATGTAGTCGTTTAAATGACTTTGGATTTATAATACGTACGCACACGTGTGCCAGTGCTACATCAGGCGTCGGATCGACCTTCCTTATTACAGAGCATAGAGTCCCTCTCATCCTCAGTACTGAATAATATTTTCTGGAAACAGCAACCATGAGGATTTTCGCTCTCGCTGTACTACTCGTCGTCATTTGCGTTGTCCAGGTGAATTTTTTCCTTAGTCTTACATTAAATATCATACATATACATTAATTTGTTTTTTTACAATTAATTTCTCGACCTTGAGTCATATCCACGTGATTATCGCATCGCTGTCTTACTCCGACTATAGAGATATAGGTCAAAATAATAACTTGAATTGGTCAAATGAATAAGGAATAATAAATCATTGGTTTCCATAGTAAATGTATTTATATAAGTTGTACTGATAACAGAACACCACAGCAGTGACACCAGATTGGCAGTACAGGACAAAGTTGAGTCACTGGAGTAGCGTTTCTGCGATTTCCGATAGGACCTTCGGTTACATCCGGGTAAGCGACATTCGATCATATTCCATTTTTACACTTTTGACAATCGTATGTAGTGCGTAAAAGTATACGAATATTATGTGTGTGGAAATATCGTAAGGTATTATTTGCATGTAGCGCATCGATTAGGCTCTGAAAACACGCATATATATCTTGTGTGTATAGTCGCTCTCTTTATCAATTTTATCTGAGGAATCAACTCTCATATTTTTCAAGGAAATCGTAGCTTTGATCTTTTGCACGAATCTTGGCTCCGAGTAAAATTAAAAGAATTGCCGAAGAAGCAATCAAAAGCGCTAGAATTTAAGCTCCCGTTGAGCAGAAAGTGTCTATTACTTCTTGATAAAATATTATTATAAGTTTGCTTTGAGCTTCAAGTTATGATAAAATAAAAGTAAAACCAATGTATTTGTCAGTTTGTTTCGTGTTTTTTGTTTCACCAGTTTTTTTACAATATCTTTGTCCGGGGCTATAAAAATAAAAAAAAAAATTGCCAAATCAAACTGGAGGTCGTGCAATACAACCATTGTTTCCATCTGTACATAAAGTTTTTTCGATGTAAAAGAAAAAATACACATTGATCATGTCTGCAGAAAATTGGCAAGACAAATTGCTCAAAAAAGGCAAACTCGGATCTTCGGAGCATGACAGAAGCTGCCAGAATTGGAATCTGGAACTGCGTCGATGCCTCGACCAGCGAAGCTGAGGGAATCGCTTGCGCCAAAGCTGAGGTGGTAAAAGCTTCGGCCAGAGCTGACGAGATCTTGAGGAAGGCAAAGTATTGTGCACAGCGTTATTAGATGCATTTTTTTTTGTTTACGAGTCTCTTACTGTGTAACAAGGCATTGTTTGTGTTTAATGATATTTTTATGCTGTGTAATTTCATTTAATGGCAATAAATGAACTTTCTTTCTACAATGTTTTTGTGCTTTTCAATGTAGTTGTAATTAATGCGTAACTCGAGCTGTTAAAATGTAAATAAATAACTTCAGGTATACAAAAACAATTTTTTTACATTTTTCGCTCAGAAGTCTGGAATGCAAAAAAAATATTTGTTTGGATTATCCCATATACCCCCATATACGCGAAACAGGTCTTCATAACGCTTAGTTTCTATAAAAAAAAAATTTGTAATGACAGTTTCATCATGAATGCTTCGTATGATTTTCCAACTGGAGAGCAAATGTAAAGAAGCTAATAGAGCATATTTAAAGCTACTTAATTTAAAAAAAAAATTTTTTTGTTAATTTTTTTTTCTTTTACTTAACACACGGTTTTCACTATCGTACTCTTATACATGCAATCTGTAGAATACTGAAAAAAAAATGTAAAAAATTTTAACCGTATGCGAAGCACTCAAGATATCATTTATTTGCACTCTGATACAAAAATTAATAATCTGACCATATTATTCATAATTTATACCACTTTACATTGTTCGACCGAAAGTTGAGACATCTGCTGGAGATTTCTAAAAAAAATTTCAAGAAGAAATCTACCCTACCGTTAATTTTGTTTACTGGCGTTCTAACCTACAGTCGAGATGATATTTTGGTTTATTTGTGTTCAAGTTTTTAAAATTTTTTATTGAAAAGAAAAAAAAAAAAATGTGGACTAAATATTTCAATTATGTGTTATACGGCATAGCCGTAACTTTCTTCATCAACTACGTAAAAGTATCATATTTAATTAGTTTTTATTACGACGTATTGTTTTGCGATTATGAAAACATGTCCAGATTTGATTATATTATTGGTAATTATTTAAATTACACGTGCATGCTGTCAGCAATATTTAACACCTTTCTTTGAATGATTATACTGTTTTACAATAAATTAATACTTATGCAGTTGGAGCAGGAAGTGCAGGATCTGTTCTAGCTGCAAAACTGTCTAGTGCTGGAGAAAAAACATTACTTGTCGAAGCTGGAGGTGCTCCGGCTTTTTTTTTTAACATTCCAATCATCGCACCAATACTGTTGAACAGTCCCTATGACTGGAGGTACTTGACAGTTCCTCAAAAAAATGCCTGCAAGGGCTTGGATAATAATCAAAGTGTGTGGTCATCGGGAAAAATTTTGGGAGGCTCCAGCAGGCTCAATTACATGATATACAGTACAGGACACCCAAATGATTATGACTCTTGGATGGATAATCTTCAAGGTAAACAGGGTTACGTGAATTGGGCAAAAGGTTTTTAAATAAGTCACATTTTTTCATTATTATATAATTATAGAACCAGTTGTTGAAAATGGAGGATCTTTGTGCATTAATTATGACAACTGGTCTTCAAGAATATCTGATGCAATACTAAACGGCATTGTGGAGTTGTCATACAGTTTGAAAAATCCCAATGACTCATCATCTACTGGTATTAAAAATTTTAATACACCATTGTTACAAAAAAAAAAAAGATCTTGGATGAGTCTGATATTGTAGGTTTTATGAAGGCCCCGTTAACAACGAAAAACGGAGAACGTTGGAGTACTGATAGAATACTTTACCAAAATTCAAGTAAAAGACTGAAAATTTTGACAAACTCATTTGTCAAAAAGGTACCTTGAATCGTAGAAAAGTTTTATTGAATTTTTTTACAGTAAATGAAAGCTTCACGAATTTCAGATAATCTTTAAATCAAATAAAGCAATAGGAATAGAGTTTTTGAAAGGATACAATACTTATAAGGCTTTTGCTAAAAAAGGAGTAGTTTTAAGTGCTGGGGCTATAGGTACACCAAAGCTATTAATGCTTTCAGGTAACTATTAAAACTATTCAAACTGTCTAAATTATTTAAACTTTTTAAACTGTTACTGCTTTTAGGTGTTGGGCCCAAAGAACATTTAAAAGAACACAATGTAAGCTTATGTATTCAACATACATTGTATCCATGTAAATTTCTTGAATCACCTTATTACTTGCTACATTCGTCAACAGATAAAAACTATAGCAGATTTACCAGTTGGTCAACACTTAATGGATCATATAATAACTGGATTAGATTTAGTAATCGTGAACACTACAGCCATGGGTGTGGCTGATATTTTAAATCCTCTCTCATTCCTAGACTATTATTTGTATGGCAAAGGTCCATGGACTACTTCTGGAGTAGGTGTCATTGGTACATTCCATAGTAAATTAATGAAGAACAAACAATCAATACCAGATTTGCAAATAATAGCTCTTTCAGTTGGTATATCACAGGATAATGGAATACTACTAGGGAAGAATCTGGGGGTTTCTGATAAAGTTAGTTTTCAAATTTGCATAGAATATTTTGAAGCAATTAATTTTAAATGTATATAATGTAACACTTTTAAGGTTTTGAAAGAATATTTTATACCCTTGGCTTACAGTACAGCAATAACAATCGCCCCCGTATTATTGCATCCAAAAAGCACTGGAGAGATAAAATTAACTAGTTCGAATCCATTCGACCCACCAATGATAGATCCAAAATATTTATCACATGAAAAAGATATACTGACACTAGTAGAAGGTAGAAATTGAAACTATGTATACAATCATTTAAAGAAGGTATTCTATATACTCTATTTTTTTAGGAATACAATTCGTTAAAACTTTAGTAGAAACAAAAGTTATGAAAAAATACAATGCACAGTTATACAGAAAACCACTTCCTGGCTGTGAACATATAAACTTTGACTCATTAGAGTACTGGAAATGCTATGTTCAACATATGACATTAAGCACATATCATCCAGCAGGAACATGCAAGATTGGGGATGTTGTTGATTCGAGATTTAGGTATAAAGTGAAGAAGTACATGTTTAAAAATCATTTTAAAAAATATGATTAACATTGCAGAGTCTACAAGACAAAAAATTTATTTGTTGTTGATGCATCAGTCTTTCCACGGTTACCAAGTGGAAACATTCACGGTCCAACAGTAATGCTTGCTGAGAAGGCTTCTAGATTACTTACAGAGAGTTTGAAAAATTGCAATAGTAAGGTACAACAATGTTACCGAAATGATGTTTTTCTTTTATCAAATACTTGCTATTAACACTAACTAGTTTGTGATGACTAGTATTCAAGAGATTGTAAAATAATGTACATTTGTATATATTTCAAATATTTTTTATTTTTTTAAAAAATATATTAGAATTACAAAAAATTGGTTTCGAATTTCTGTTTGTAAAGATATTATAACTTCAAATCGTAAGGTTATTGCAAGCTATTACTTTTCAAGATTAACCGTGACTTTTTTAATGGAGATAAATATCAAAAGCCGCGAATTCATGCATATATTTTCATTAAATTTTTTTTCAATAAATAAAATGAATAAAACTATTTTCAGGTGTAAAAAAAGTTATGCTTGAAATAATGTAGCAAAATCAAAGTACTAATTCAATTTTCAAATGCAAAAATAGAGATTTCAAAATACAGTATTTTATTAAATGTTCATCAGTGTATATACAAAAGGAAAACTTTGATTAAAATTTATATTCTTGAAGCAGTACTTGAGCATTATGAAACGATTTCTAATAAAAAACTTGTTATTTTTCAACAGTTACATAAATCATCCAATGAATCATGTATAGCATTGACAAATATCTCAAAGTGATTTTTAACGAACTTTTATCAAAGTTTACCTTGTTAAACAGAATGTGTAGTTGAATCTTACTTTGAGTGGAAGATTACTTTTCTATCGACGTTTTCTTCTATTATCATGTCGATTCGATCTGTGTGACGATGCGTGTTTATAAGATTTCTGATCCCGGATACTTTTGTTGTGACTTTCGTGATGCTTATCGTTCCTGTCATTGTACTGATCTCTGTAGGGATGACTTCTGTTGTTGTATCTACTGCTTCCATTATTACTCTTGTTATCAGAGTCCACACGTTGATTCATTTGGCCTGGCAAGTAAGTGGAGTTTTGACTAGGATACGACATGGAACCTGGCACCATGTACATGTTGTTTTGAGCAAAGGAAAGTGGATTCATTGAACCCAATAAAATTTGCTGCCCAAGCTGCAAATGATTTTGAACGTTTTGATGCCTGTTATCATACTTTGGAGTACGCTGCTGCTGTTGCATTTGCAGTAATTGCTGCTGCTGTTGCATGTGTAGTAATTGCTGTTGCTGTTGATGTTGTTGCATATGCAGTATTTGCTGTTGTTGCTGCTGCTGGTACTGAGAATTTTCATAAACATTGTTCCTTGATTTCATGTTCAGTACCCTATTGAAAAGTGCTGTACCGTCAAACAAATCCAGGGCATACGGAACAGATACTTCGTGCTTATACGTCACAAAGCCAAAATTCTTTTGCTTACCATCGCGATCCTTTGGAATGGAAATTTTTTGCACAGGACCACCCTTAATCAGAAAGACATCAAATAAATGCATATTTTCACAAAAGTTTTGAATTTCAATATTAAGCTAATCAAATTTCGTGCAGTAGACTTGTTATAGAGTTTAATATACTATCTGTAAAGGAAATACAATAAACCAAACAACTATTGTGCCAGATAGTGATAAAATAAAGTGTAAATAAAGTTTAAGGTTACCTGGATGAACAGCTCGTACAGGATCTCCTCGGAGACCTTATCACTGAGATTACCACACCAAATAGTGCGGACGTCTTCGTCCATCTTTATTACTTAATTTTAATTTCGCTGTGTCTATTCGCACCAAATCCACGTAATTACGTGGATATAAGGTTAGGAATTTTAAAGAAAAACGCTACTTTTTCAAATGAAGTATGTCCACGTAAAGTGAAGTTTGCAGATTGCGTGCCTATGAGAGAACATGTGTGTGTATGAAAGCACAATTTTTATTTTTACTTGTCTGATACATAAATAAATATGTATATATCTGTGGCGTCTCACATCTCTCGCGCTTCAGGCTCTACTCGCCAGGTGGCCAAGCCCCTAATAGTTCGCTCCCGTCAAGCGGCGAAATTCCCGCACGATTATATAAGCGCGATCGAGATGGTCCAAGCAAAAAAATTTAAAATTAGAAAAAATTAAATTTAACATTAAAATATTAAATTTCTTNTTCGCTCCCGTCAAGCGGCGAAATCCTGCACGATTCATATATAAGCGCGATCGAGATGGTCTATGCAAAAAAATTTTAAATTAAATAAAATTTAATTAAAAATTAATATTTTAAATTTCTTTAAAATTAGTTTTTTAAATTTCTCTAAAATTCCTAACCTTATATCCACGTAATTACGTGGATTTGGTGCGAATAGACACAGCGTTTTAATTTCCTTGACGAAGTACAATATCCACTTATAATCTTACAAAACAACAAACGAAGTATCAGATTATCAAAAAAACAATCGGTGTGCTCTTTTTTTTTTCTTTACCCTAAACCTATATACACGAAAGTCGAAGACGAAAGTTCGATGTATCAATTAATTTTGATTCGACTCAACTTCGATACTATCGACGCCATGATGATTAATCCCGGTATTCTGTCCTGTAGATGACATTTAAGTGGAAGGGGAAAAGAATGACATGTTATCTCTCTCACACTAATAAGTTGTCCACACATTATCTAAATACTTATAGATATTAGATTAAACGGCCAGTGCTTACGGAACGCACCGTTTCTCGATTTGGATGTTGACAAGATTTTCGAAAAAGCATTAATGTCAACAGTCAGTACCTACTTAGAAGATTTAAGTTTACCATTAAAAATGTTGTTTTTGTTAACGATGAAAGCTTTTGAATCTATCAAGATCGTCTGTGGAAGTTGACGCTTTGAAATGCGCCAGTTTGTGAGGTAAATGTACAACATTTGTTTGAATGTGTGTAGTACAAAATCTTTGTCAATTATTTGTTGATGCCGTTTGTTATGTTGATCATGCTCATTTTTCCATAATCTTAATTATGCAATGAAATAGTAAACATACCAAAAATCTCTTTGTCTCCTTTGATAGAGAATTTACCTAATTATTATTAGTATGAATGTTAATAGTAGTTTTTCTGGTTACACTGATATGCGTCAAATTCTAATCTGAAAAATTACACTTTTAAAAAGAATATTGTTTAGTTACTCGAAAGACAGTTGATCATAAAAAATTCGTAAAAACTCAACCATTTTCTATGAATCTGTATGTGAAATTGTGCTTGAATCAAAGATCCTAATAGATTTTTGTATGATAATAAAATAGAGTAAAACGCCAGTTTTATTTTTCATTTTTTTTTTATAAAAAATTTTTCTGGACGATTTTCTTAGTTATTACATAATTATTCTACTTTCTTTTGTAACTAAAACTGGCTTATAATTAATTACGATCAATGTTTTACAAAATTTTCTTGTCATATAATTATAAACATGTATGTTACTATAATACAAATATTGTTACATTTAATGGAAAGTCTATGTGTTTTATCGACATAGTACACATAATTATTAAATACACTTTAAATCTACAAATCACGGAACAATTGTTCGGACAAAATGTAAAATAAATAACTTTATACAAATAGTAACAAAAACATTAACTTTGAAAGGTAATAAAAGTATGCATCGGCAACCAATTTTTATGATCGATTAAATATCTTTACAAAATCTGCTATGTGACTATTCAAGAAAAATGCCTAATGTAAGCAATCTTGAAATAGCCTAAGACGAATTTTCGAAATTCTCTAAATACAAGTGCATATTGTCACCTTGAACAATTCAATTTAAAAAATTTGTTAGCGATCACATAAAGCTTATAAAAATAAGGACAAAACGGATTGAAAAATAGAAATTTTTGCATCCTTATTGAAAAAAAAAAAAAAAAATTTTTAATTTTAATGATCCCAAATGAAGGCTTATTTTGCTCTATCTTCATTATTTACGGAGATACGGCCGTTTTAAGTTTTAGCCATTTTTAAAAACCAAAATTACAGATTATAAGCTTTATCACGGGTCAGTGTATATCTGCTATGATGTTCTAGGCTGCCTGGACTNAAATGCCTAATGTAAGCAATCTTGAAATAGCCTAAGACGAATTTTCGAAATTCTCTAAATACAAGTGCATATTGTCACCTTGAACAATTCAATTTAAAAAATTTGTTAGCGATCACATAAAGCTTATAAAAATAAGGACAAAACGGATTGAAAAATTCCTTATTGAAAAAAAAAAAAAAAAAAAAATTGTGCAGTAAAAAATGGACACAAGAAATAGTAGTAGAACTTGGTTCAAAGCTTTCAAAGGACTAAGTATCTGGAAGGCCAATTTATTCTCTCAAACACACTGCTCTTGGATTATTTTCTAGATCACAACACTGCAGTTGCACTTTAGCACTGTCACGAAATTTTTCACCACCATTGTCGAGTCACCAACTAACGTCACGATGGCGCCTTTTGCAAATTAATATTGTGATCCCAGTGATCGCAGCTTATGGCGCACGGCATGCACTGCGTGATCGCGCTGGCGTGGCCAGATCTGGGCAGGGTCATGGGTTCACCCTCTTCCCATAAGTCAGTCGCCGGGTTGTAAATTTCCACGATTGTGCAGAACTTTGATCCATCGAATCCACCTGCAGAATCAATTACTTTGATTGAACAAGGCGATCAAATGAAAAATAGAAAAAATATCAAGTTTGCAAATGTGCTCATTATACCCATGGCATATATTTTTCCATCGACGACGGTAACGCTTAAGGCACTTCTGGCGGTCGGCAGGGGGCTCACGTACTCCCAGAGGTCGTTTTCCGTGTCGTAGCGCTCCACAGACTCGAGCTGCTTTTCCCCGCTGAAGCCTCCGATCACGTAGATGTACTGGCCAACACTCACAGCCGCTGATCCAGAGCGGCTATTCAGCATCGGCGAAACGACGCTCCACTCGTCGTTCTCCGGATGATAGCACTCCACGCTGTTCAGTCTTTCGATGCCATCGTAACCGCCCATCGCGTACATTAGTCTGCAAAAGATGTTAACGTGGATTTTATTACCAAACCAGCACAACCAACTTTGAAAATATTCAGCGTTGTTTAAACGCACCTATTGACCACCGCGACAACGACACCCAGCCTCTTTTTGTGCATTGGCTTGATGTAAGTCCAAGTGTCCTGTTCGGGGTCGTAGCACTCGACGCTCGAGTGAAAGACCTGGCCGTTGCAGCCCCCTACCGCGTAGAGCAGACCGTCCATGACGGCGACGCCGCATCGGTTTCTCGGTACCGACAGTGGACTACAGGGCCTCCATTGGTCCGTCACGGGATTGTACCGATCCACCCAGTCGCTGTCGTATCTGTTAATCAAAATAGTTTCATTATTTCACAGTATCACTCACCGTTCGACGACAACAATGATTTCTATGGCACATACCCGACTCGACTGCCGGGACTGTTATTCCTGCCGCCTACTGCGTAAAACATGCCCTTGAGAAAAGCCCCGCCCAGTCCAGACCTCGGAACCAGAAGCTTGGCGCACTCTGTCCAGGTCTTGTCGTCGACGTTGAAACCCTCCATCCTGTCGATGGAGCTGTTGAAAAATCCCCCGGCTATGTAGATGATTCTGGGCGTGTTGGGTGTCCGCTCCTTGACCACGGGCCTCTTGTGCAGCGTCAGGTCCTTGAATATCTTGGCAAGGTATTCCCTGCAGGCTGGCACCTTTTTCAGGACGTCACAGTTGTTCATCTGCTCACTGAGAAAACTCGGCGTCAGGTACTGGCAGCGTACCGCGTGTAGAATCGGCTCCATCTTGGGCCTCCGCGACTCTTCGTTGTACTTGACCCACTTGAGGACGGCGTTGTAGACCTCTCGCTCTTCCTGGACGTTCAGCTCGTCTTTTCGTACGAGGGAAACTGCGTATGGTTTTTAATAGACGGTCATAATACAGTAGTGTATCGTCAAGGGCAAAGAGGATGAAATGTATCGAGCGCTCACCTAGCTGCATCGCCGACAGCTGCAGGAATTCTTCTTCCTGGCAAATTTGGCTAAAATGCTGGACGATGAACTGATTGGCTCTGTGGTAGAGGTCGCAGCAGCCATGCTGCTCGGCAAAATTCGCTATGCCAATGGCGTTTGTTGGATCGAGCTGTTTTTCTAGAAAAGTGCAGCAAGCCTCTACAACATTTGATACCTGCGTGCGACATTCGGGAGCACTTTGTTAATTTCACAATGTGAAGGATATTCAAGAATACCGGTATACAGGATTGTTGTTATTGTCGTACCTGGAACATCGTCGCGGCAGGCAAAAGCGAACACACGGTCACCTCGGTGATTCTGATTTTCCCCGTGTACATGAAGTTGACCAACTTGGCCATGGCAGTCGGACACACTCCCTGCAGCTTTATCCTGTTCATCTCGCACTCTTTCAATCCCCCTGTCAACATGGCCTATAAAAAATTAATAACCCTTTAAAAGACCTTCATCAGAATATATGAATATAAAACGCATACAAACGAGTTGAATTTGGGAAAAAAAAAAAACACATTGCAACTGATTCTGCATTCAAGTGGCAGTGATTATTACCTTAAAGTATGGACTGGCGGCCGCGAGGATAACTTTGTGCGCGTGAAATAGCTCCGAGCCGACCTCGAGGACGATGTCGGTGAGCATGTGGTGGCTGCGCATTATGTGGAGCATCTTCATGCAGCCGTTTAAGTAGCTGCCGATGTGAAAGGTCATGTCACCCAAGTCGCTCTTCTCGGCCCTGTCCCTTTCGTCCCCGGGGTCAAACAGTGAGCCGGTTGCGTAGCTGGAAAATGCCTCTTGCAGGTCATTTTGCTCGACCGAGGAGTCATTGCTTTCGTCCATGAAATTATTGACCTGCTGACATCGACAGTGATAAGAAAAAAAATTAATTAATTTTTACATCCAATCAAATGAAACAAAGAACAAATAAAAAAAAAAAAAAAAATCGTGACAAACAAAAATAAGTGTGTACGTTATTACGCAGTGTCAAAACATCTGTATAATGTTACAAAAGTCGAGTGCTCGATGACAAAACGCTTTTTAATCCAAGGCCGAGAGATGAGGCTGAAAAAAAAAAAAAAAAAGCCGCAAAGCCGACCGAAACGGCAAAAACACACACACAGCCGACTCATCGTGAATCGAAAAGTTTATTAACCGGCTCTCGCAATCTTTGACAAATATTTTTCCGCAAACACGCGCTGTTTGACGCAGCAGAAAATTTACACTCCCCAATCGGCTGCTCTAATTTCAATGTTAATTTTTTTCTGTTTCTTTTCAACAAAGTGCAATGCTCCAAATGCATGTTATTAACCGAGAGAAATCAAGATAATTCTTCTGCTACTATTTGTAAACAATCCCGTGTACATACACATGCATCACGTATACCTGATGTATATGCACTTTTATATTTTCAATTGCATATTACATCATGTTGTCCATGGATCAGCTGTTCAATACACACACATTCCCGGTAAACGAGCAACAAAGCACCAAAAAGCATCAAGATCCATGTAATAAATACCCTATGCGTAAAAAATGAGTTTGTTTTTTTCCAAGAAAAAGAAAAATCGGAGCAGTCATCATCGAAATACTCGGTCGTCTGCCCACACCAGTATCTGTCAAAATCGCGCGTATCCTAACCTCAATATCCACTGTTGACGTTCAGCAGGAGTTCGCAGTCCCACGCACCCCAATTCTCCTTGATTTGACGATCTCCTAGGAATTGCAATGCTCCGAAAACAGTCTGCTCCCCCGGCCCCGCGTCGTGCAGGGCTTACGTTTTGCTGCGAAAACGATAACCAGACACAAGCATCATCGACATGTTAACGAAAAGCTTCTCCTCCTCGTTCGTGTACGGATGCAAGTTATTACTACTGATGCTATGTGTTAACCCATCGATATAGGCACAGGAAAACACGAGCACAAAAAAGTTATTACACATCAGCAAAACTTCACGATAGGTGCCATGTGTATGGTACAACAAAAACAAACCACTTTGCCTCACACCTATACATCATATGATAACACACGTGACGGACCAAGACGTTGCAGTTTCGTTTCATCATCACATTCTCCAAAATTCAATCCCCGATATTTCTGTCAAGTAAGTACTTGGATAGTACAAAAACACTTGTCGGAGGTAGGTGCGCGACTGCCGACAAATTTGTCGTGTAGCGATCAGCCGCGCTTTATTGCTCGCTGTGGCCGCGCGTCGTGACGTAGCGGGTTTTCCTCGCATCATCATCGTCATTATTATTATTATTATCACCGTCATAGAAGTCTTCGATAGCATATATATATAGACACACGCGCTCCTAATCGCTTTCTCCGGTTCTCCCGCTGTGCGGGCGTTGTTTCTCTCTCATCACGTGTTCCATTATACCGATCTCGAGATATCGCGCAGTGCATACTGTTTTCGCAAAACTTTTTTTTTTTTTTTTTTTTCTTCCTGTTTCTCCGTGATCCTCCGATCAATCGGCGATGATGTACCGACGCGTTTCCTCCGAGGAAAATGAAAAATCGGTCATCGCGTAAATTACACGGCAGTTACAGGTGACGCGCCGATGTGTCTCCCGACAAATTAGCCCCTCGGCGAATTAGCATTTCAAATGTTCGGCGGGGGACGATATAAATTCACGGCGATTTATTCAAACGCACGAGTGTGTAATACTGCACGTTCGAGAACCCGTGTGACACTCGTACTTTTTTTCCTTTTTTTTTTTTTTTCTTTTTTTTTTTTCTTTGTATCGCTTAAAGAGCAGCTCTCTCGCAAGTTACTCCGGCGGGACGTTTTGTGCAGAGTCATCGCATCAAATTAATTAAACGCGCAATCTCGTTTTTCTCGCTCCCGGCATCAAAGAGCGTTTGGTTACGCAATCCAAAGGTCGTTATAACCGTTACAAAGTTTCTCTCTCGTCTTCCTCCTTGGTGTGCAGTACTATTTTTGTTTCACGCGCTTGACACATTTTCTCATCGGATCACTCGCGCGTCACGTACCTGTAATCCCCCATACAGCGCAAATTTTTTATCTACGATAATATACGAGATACTCACGTATTACGTACGGAGTTGGAGAAAAAAAAAAAAAAAAAAAAAAAGGGAATCTTTAACTTGGTTCTTGCTGCTTTTTATTTCCACGAGTCACGCGAGAGACGCAATGATTCTGAGTCACTTCCCCAACTATACTTGGTGTTGTTTTGTACGCGCGTTATCTCTCGTTGTAGGTATACATGTAATCTATACGCTAAAAGTCTACGATCTTCGCGCCATACTTTACTTTTTCTTCATTTGTTACGCAAACAAATATAAATATGATAAATTTTTTTTCTTTTCGCCATCTCCATTGCAACGATGTACAATCGATAAAATTGACGCGAAACGGTGCTCGAGTCACGTGGACGAAAAAAAAAATATTCCGATCTCTTAGCTATGATATATTTGAAAAAAGAAAAAAAAAGAAATAATTTCACTCTCTAGTCCCCGATGAAATTTCAATTTTATTACAACCTGGTATTTATTTAATTTCTCACAGGTAATTAAATAACTCTCTCTCTCTCTCTCTCTCTCGAGATTACAGCGATTAATTTGGCGTGCGCGCGATTTCCATGAGTTGACACGCGGGACGTATGCATATCTCGCCAAAAAGCCCTGAGAACCGAGTTAATTTGACAGCCGGGCATGTAAATTTATTTACCGCACTCTTGGTAATAAACTGCGCGCGGTACTCGTGTATAGTTGTTGTTATCGCACAGTAAAAATGTGTCGCTGTATTTAATTTAATTATTTGATGACTCGACACTCGTTTACTCTTCGAAACGACCAAGTGCGGTGACTCTTTTTTTTTGGCGCACGAGTGATTCTGATAAAACATACACAAGCAATGTGGTGGCAACCTGGTACTTATACACATAAATAAAGATTACGCTCGTAGCTTAATTTCTTATGAAAATCCATTCGACTATTACAAAATGAGAAAAAAATTTCAAGTCATAATTTTTTTAAATCTGTATAATCGCAAATATACCAGCGTTAATATTATTATTTTTTTATATTTTGTATTAAAATTATCTTTATGATTTTTTAATCGAAGAATACCTTGAAAGACAAACTCTTTCAATAGAAGTTTTTATCTGTAACTTTTAGACAAAAAAAAAAAATTTCAATCTCAAAAAATAGCAGGTATATACTTATTACACACCTAGGGAGCAAAAGTAAAGTATGTCTGATATCTCATGTGTATTATCAACTAAGACAAAGCCGAGGGTAAAAAACGTGAGATTTAAGGCTCCTTTGCTTGCTCCCGTGGTGCTGTATATTTTTACGTGACCCAGCGGAGAGGAAGAGGAAGCGATTACTTTTGCCCCACAGGCAAGTAAATAAAATGCTTTTATGTTTTACACTTTTATCTAGGATACCCTCGGATCCTGGCGGTCGTAATTATACGGTTCAGAGAAATTGGCTTTAGTCGTTCAAAGTTAAAAAAAATGTCACGATCGTGTTTTGAGTGCAAAAATTTAATTTCTCACTTCTTACAAATTAAAAATTAAAAAAAAAAAAATAGCCTAATTCGTAATGTCCTACAAATTGTTATATACAAGCGGATAACGCTTTTTTCACGGGAAATATAGTACCTGTTTATACAACTTCCTTCATTAATTTGTACAATCGTAACTCGGAGCCTCGTTAATAAGGGCACAAATGTACCCCTAATTATGTGTACATGTTCCAAATTCTCGACTATCTATACCTTTCGCTCTCTCCGAATAAACATACAACCCGGACTTGGTACTCTCCAAAATCATCATCTGTATATCAGCTCAACGATGACTTGCACAAAACGTCTCTTCTTCTCCTCCTCGCTGCGGCCCGCGTCTCTGTCTACTTACTTACGTGGGTTTCGAGCATGTGTTTGCCAGCTGCTTGCCTGCCGATACTCATCCAACAACTTGTAGCGTTTTACGAGCGACTACTCTCGGAGAGAGCATTTTTTTCTTTTTCTGGACCCTATCACTAATAGAAAGAGAGAAAATTACTCAACTATCTGAGTGCTCTGAGAGTAGTCGCTCGAAAATGTTGTGAGCAATCATATCTTTTTCTATCCCCACAAAGCAGATTTTACAACAACTTCGCCAATGTACAGTGATAACAACGTGGCGATCGGTTTGTCGCGCTGTTTTGTTTCTCTCGTTTTTTTTTTTTTTTTATCTTTACACGAACAGACATCACAGTATGGACTTTCGGTCGTGAGATCCTTACTCCGTTGAATTGAATTATTTATCGTTTGAATGAAAAAAACTGACACCTTGAAATTACGTAAAATCTTACCGAAAATCATCTATAGATTTACGTATAGTTGAAACTTTTTTTTTCTCGTCACAAATGCTTGGACTAAATTTTTAAAGCGGCAATAAAGACTTTCAATAAATAGCAATATATATAT